AGTGAGGTTAAGTTCAACAGCCTAAGTTGTATGGTAATAGTAATAAGCTTATCTTCTGGATGGTTAACAACCTAAATTTGCAGACCAAAATTAGAGGAAAAGGAGGGCTTCAAGAAAAGCCAACATTTTGGTCCTCGCCTTCTAAGTTTCATTAAGACTCAGGACATATGAGAACTTGTACTGTAACATCATGTAACTCAGTAGTGTCCCAAATTTTCTGATCAAGGAGATTATGGGGCCAAAGAGGAAAGTGATTGATGATGTAGATTGTGCCTAAGGAGAGTCACTTAGAGAGAAATCATCCTCTCAGGCTTTCACAGAGAGCACATTGGCCAAGCAATGGCCATGACTCATCCACATGGCTGACACTGACAAAGGTTCTACAATCTGAGATACCGGATCTCAGGATAAACCCTGAGGGGATTTCACTGACCTTACCAGACCCAAAAACTATAACTCTTGTTGCATAGGTCCTGCTTTACCTTGGTCTTAACCACGCAGCAGAAAAGTATAAAAATGAAATATAAGAAGTAAACCATGCTCTTTTGTTGAGCTATAGAGGACTCAGGTCAACAACTTCTGACATTGCCAGTCAAGCAGAAGATCCAATACTATTATGGGCTACTGAACTCTTTTAGAATATTTTGCTGAGTTTACACGTCTATAATTTTCAAGTAACGTGACTTAACAAAAAAAGGGTATACCGATGAATGTCCATTTTGTATCTGTGTATTCAAAGTGGTTAGGATAGATATGTAGTTACATTCTCTTAGTGAATAGAGCAATCTGATCTAATGGTGTTTGTAAATAGGATATCATGTCCACATCTTGTACAGCAATTATCCACTAGGAAAAATGTATGCAATGTTTTAATTATTGAAACTGTCCTACCAATTTGATTTGAAACTGTCTCATTGCTATTTGTTTATCAATAAAATTATGGGAAAAAAAGAAATACAGAACTATTTGTATATAAAGATATCTAGGGTTTGCTTCAAACTGTGTGTGTGTGGTGTGAAATAGGTGGAAAAAGAGAAACAAGATTGTCCTTGAGGCTTAACCTGGTGTAAATGGCACTTATCACACTATTGTCTCTACTTTGGTATATGCTTAACATTTTCTGAAAGAAAGTTGAATAAATGCTTGTTGATTCATAATGAAAAAATAAAAGAAAACAAATCAAAAATGAAG